ATTTAGATAGATGTAATTAGGATAAAAGTTTATAGATAAGCTTTTTAGCAACAATCACATTTTACAGCATATGTACTTAAAAATACCATCCAACATTTTTCTGGAAACTTGAAACTTTAGAGTTTGCTAAGTTAAATTAAGTGATGAGAAATTTATTAAATATATAGATCATTTTCAAATAAGATGAAAATAATGAAACATTAATTATTGAAAATAGGTTTATCAACTGTTGGCTTCCTATTATGCAGAAACAAAAGATAAATTTGAGTATATTAGTAAACATGTTTTATGTCACACTGAGAAATTTTCTATGAAAAAGCATGTGTTTCTGAAAATTATAAAAATATTTATAAATCTGCCAATCCTCAGAATGCGAAAAATAAGAGACAGCTCATAATTGTTTATTGTCTCGTTTTTCTCTGAGAAATTAAGGTTTCTAAAGGTTAAAATTTCTAATATGAAGATGCATTTGTTAAGGGAAATGAGAATAATTTTATTTCAGAATGAGAAGGAGAAAAATGAAGGACAAACTAAATGTACATAGCAAGAAAGAGAGAAAGAGGATTTTTTATTGTGTGATCAGACTGACAAAAATTAGAAACTTACAACGGTTTAAAAATTAACCTTTAATACCAATAGCATACTTGTGTAAAACTAGACCTTAATTTTCTTTTACCTGCTAAAGGACACAGTTTTCTTGGACTGTTATCTCCTCTCCTGATAAGAGATTATAAAAGAAAAGCAAAGATTTAGTGTTTTATCAAAATAATTTTATGTGCTTTATCAGGTCTTTAATTACATAGGTAAAACAGTCTTCTTAATATTAAAAGAATTGTTTTGCTACTAGGTAATTAAATATTGTTTCATGTTGATTTCTGATCCTATTTAGTCAAGCGGCCAGACCTTTTTATACCCTGACAAACTTCCAAAATCAAAATCTAAAACTGAAATCTTTTTGACCTGGAAGAAACCGAGACTTTTCCAGAGAACACTTGGAACATTTTTAAAGATCTATTAAACCAATTATGCTTATTTGATTTGTTAAATTGCATAGGAAGCACTGTCAAATAAGAAGTCGTACTCTGCCTTTTTTCTGTTGTATTTGCATAGGTATATAAGGGTTCCAGAAATTGTGTGAAATTTCTGGAAATCTGATATGCCCTGGTGTGATGTTATTACTTGTAATTCTAGCCATTATCTTAAATGTTGTAGGGCATCCTCTGGGAGCTCAATCAAAAAGGGGCGACAAGTAAATGATCTTCTTAGTGCCATTCTCTTACCTTCTGAAATTACTGTCATCAAAATCGAGGTCCACACTAAAAGGACTGAATCTGAGTATCAGGAAAACACCCTAGCTGACTTTCAGACAAAGGCAGCAGCAACAAAATCTAAAAAAATAGTGGCACATGTGGATGAAGTCCATTCTGCTTCTGCAAAAAATGAACCCTCATTGCCAGGCTTTTGCCAGCCTGATGTCCTTCTAACACGGCAGCAGTCTGCGTCTGAATCAGAGAAATTAAGATGGGTAAACAATGGCTGTAAATTAAACAGTCAGGGCTGTGGGAAACACAGGATGACCCCTCCATTCTTCCCAGCTCCCTGGCAACCTCATTTTTCAGCTTTTACATTCTTTCACCCCCCATACTGGATTTAAGAAAAATTACTTTTGTCCCCGGAGGCTTCAGACCTCCTCTTTCTGTACTCTTTGAATACCTGCATCTGGACTTCATTCAAGTGCCACTTAGCATGGGTTACCAATATGTTTTTGTTGTCATATAATGTTTACTGTATGGTTTGAAGCCTTCTCATGCCACAAGGCTGATGCCTTCACAGTGGCAAAGAAACTGTTAGAAAGTATCTATTCCACTTAGGGTATACCTTTGACAATCTCCAGTGATCGAGGCACCCACATCGCTGGGAAAATCATACAAGCCTTAATGAAAACCTTGCAAACTTTTAGAATTATCACTGTTGTCCCTTTCAATTATCAGGCAAGGTCAAGAGAACTAATGGCTTTAATGTTTTTCCACATTCAAACAAATCTTTTTATTTAACATATTAGCAATTTGGTAAGATACACGCTTGTGAAAACACATAAAACATTTACCTTTTCTGTCTATCTGATCTCTCAGAATTCAGAGACAGTCAGTATTGTTTCAATTATATAAATAATCAGGCCAAGTGTTAAGATAAAAAAAAATTTTACCGTGCTTATCTTTTGTAAAGGATGGAAGTAATTGCAGAGAGAAAAATTATGTTTGCAACTTTGAAGATATTAGATTCTAGGCCTGTTAATTTTCTCTGAGGTTTTGTAATTAACCTGTAGACTGGGCTCCCCTGGCCTAAGGTATTGTCATTGTTCTTGCTTCTTGCTGACTGCTCTCAGTAGCCCCTCAGGAAAACAAACACACTCTACACAAGATAGTCACTGGCAGACAAATGTTTATCGGTATTTCACTTTCTGCTGATCCCTTGTTGTTTCATGCTAGTATGACCAGTTACTGTAAGTCTCTAATATCTTATGCTCAAGCCTATCATCAACAGGTTAAAGAAGCTTTCCAAGGATCTGATTTTAAAGGATCCTGTTTGTCACCGTCTAGAGCCTGATGACGGGGCATTCTGGAAGCATCATCAGAGAAAGAGAGCCCTTGAGGCCCATTGGAAGGGCAAAACTGGAAGGCATTGTATAGGATAACATGTATTCTGTACAAATGCTGGAGACCTCCATATCAAATTGACTAGGAAGAGAAGTAGCTGACATTGGTGTAGACTGCTTCTACCCAAGATACCAGAAAAAAACCTTCCTATTTTAATTAAACATGAAATCTTTTTCTTCATTTCTTTCTTTCCTTTATTCTGACATTGACCTATAAAAATAATGCCCTCATCTCTACCTCCCAGGTGATTGCTAAGGTAGGTAAACTATGGAATTTAAAACAACTTTTTATATCAGGCTAGGAGAAAATCTAACTGACTCTTTGCTTAAAAAGTCAAATACGACAATTCCTGTGAATGAATCGATTAATAGTGCCACCTCGGTGGATGTATTTGTGCCTCAACAGGGTTTATCTTTGTCTGGTTATAATTTTCCTTGGACTTATGAATGACTAGATGGCTGGCACACAGCTGGCAATGCCTCTTAGGTTATCTAACTGTGTCCCTCACTGCTCTAGAAAGGACCTACCAGGAGGCATTTATAAATTCAAAATTAACTCACTTTCAGATTCCTATTTCCTCAGTTAGGAGTAAACAGTAATGAGGCTATGATCAGAAACCTCTCCTTAGCTCTTAAAAATATTGAGAATCCAATGCTAAAGCAATAGCTGCCCAAGAAAACTCCTTAGACTTTCTGGTTGCTCTTGATAGTAGGATAGCCCTTGATTTTCTTCCAGCTCAGCAAAGAGCTGTCTGTGCGGTGGGCAACACCACCTGTCGTACCTAGACTAACACTCCTAGAGAAGTTGAAACTCAGTTACATTAGATCATTGAGTAAGCAGTCTGGCTTTAAAGGTTTTACTCCTTCAACGAGATCTTTCTTTCATGGGTTTGAGTCTTAGGGACCGTGGCTCTGAAGTGCAGTTCAAACATTGGGAATTATCCTCCGTATTATAATTATAATAATCTTTCTGGCATGTTGTGTTCTTGCAAAAAGTTTAATTGCATATTTTTAGCTCCGAATAGCGAAGTAATCTCCCTGAGACTGGAATGTCGGAAAGGGAACAAAGAATGACCAATTGAAAGAATGTGAACCAGAAGACACGGCCTGTGAGTAAAACAGGGATTGAGCAAAACAATCACGACCTGCAAGTATCACTCAGAAGACCATGAAAAGCCCTAAGAACTATGGAGGACTGACTGAGTGATGCTAATGCAGAAATTTTTTTAATCACATCTCTCAGCTTGGCTGAGAGTTTTAATCAAATGGAAGGGATTGTTAAAACAAAGAAATAACAATCCCCAAATGGCTCCCATGACAGCAAACCAAGAATTAATTGCAGTTTCAGGCCTCCCAGGATGTGACCTTTAAACAGTCAATCTGAAATTTCCTGAGTTGCACAAGTTAGGTAACCTGCATGATAAAATCCATGCCAATTCCCTTTCCCCCAATAAAGATGTTCTGGCTGAAAATAACCCTATCTTTTCTTTTGCTAGTTACTTCCTGACCTCACCCTCCTTCCTATAAAAACTTTCCATCTTGTAAGCCTCCTCATAGTGCTCTTCTATCAGCTGGATGGGACGCTGCTTGATTCATGAATTGCTTAAGAAAGCCAATTACATCCTCATATTTACTCAGTTGAATTTTGCTTTTTAACAGATGGTATGTGAATTATATCTCACTAAAGCCATAAAAAGAAATTTTTAATAGATGTTTTGTGCAAATTAATAATGCTATGACATTTTATCCCATATTTTCTCTTCATTTCTTCCCTGGCATATTGTGCATGTACCAGAGAGCAATTTTATGAGATCTGAGTGTAATTAGTTACTTATTCCTCCCCTACTCACTGGACTTTAGAGTCATGAAGACCTTGTCTGACATAGTGCTATATTCCTAGAACTAGCGTAGAAAGGGTTCCCACAAATGTTATCTGGATGAATCAATAAACCAATAAATATAAACCTCTATAGGAGCTTACCACCGGTTTACCCTTCTGGCCTCCATCACTTCCCACTCTGCCCCCATTTCAAGTAACTCATTTTCAGTGTGAATTTGTGGTATGAGTTGAACTGAAGCAGAATGTCACTTACCGAAAGGGGATGATTGCGCCATATTTCACTTGCTTTAGTTTAACTCAGGATTGTTTTCATTACTCTTTTAATCAAAATTCAGCACTAACCAAGCAAAATGCTTTCTCTTCTTTTCAAAGGAAAATCAAAAAGTATTTCACTTATGAGCCTCCCCAAGTAGATTTTCTGCAAAGAACTGCAAACAATGTAGCAGGTTTATATTAGACTGTTTACTCAGATTCTGTAGATCAAAGTCCAATGTTGACTTTGATGTGCTGCTGAGGACAAGAATTTTTACAAAGTACACCTTTAACTGGTTTGTCAACTGCTGGAAGTAACTCAGCAAAATATTTCTTTCTGTAACTAATGAAAACAGCTACCTACTTGACCCTAAAAAATTTGGAGAAACAGCTTCTATGGCCCTGCTTTGGAGGTGAGACAGGGCTAATTGAGGAGAAATTGTGTTCATCACACACTTAGTGTGGAAGGAAGCATTTTCTCCTCTTGAACTTTTCTATATACAGTCATTTTGCCTTATCTCGGGGATCACCTCTTCAGCCTCCATGGCCTTTAAGGACCTCCTGGATCAAGTTGGAGGCCTGGGGAGATTCCAGATCCTTCAGACAGCTTTCCTTTGTATCTGCGCCATGATAGCATACCCTCATGTTCTATTGGAGAACTTCACTGCAGCCGTCCCTGGTCACCGCTGTTGGGTCCAAATCCTCGACAATGACACTGTCTCTTCTAATGGCACTGGTATCCTCAGCCAAGATGCTTTCCTGAGAATCTCTATCCCACTGGATTCAAACCTGAAGCCAGAGAAGTGTCATCGCTATGTCCATCCCCAGTGGCAGCTCCTTCACCTGAATGGCACCTTCCCTAACACGAGTGAACCAGACACAGAACCCTGTGTCGATGGCTGGGTATATGACCGAATCTCCTACTCCTCCACCATTGTGTCTGAGGTAAGAGGCCCCATTCACCTTTTGTGAGTACATGGTGTGGGTATTAAAGGTAGAAAAATAATGAAGATGCTTCCAGCCTTTAGTCACTACATAGGTAACAACTCTTCATTCTTTCAGTAGATATTAATTGCTTCTCTATTAAATGCTTCACTTTTAAATAAATAATAAGACTAATGAATTCAATAATGGATGTGAACCCTGCTATCACAGTGCTTTTATTCTTGGAAGGACCAAAGTTTAAACAACTAATTTATGTAATGTGTTAGAAATGTTATTGTAAGTCAGTAATGCTTACCTTTTGGTTGCAAATTATAAATTTTTGGGAGATTGATGAAAACCTCCATGCTCAGACTGTACCGCAGAGCAATCCTATAAGAAGGTCTATGATGAAATTCAGTCATGAAAAAATTTTAAAACTCAGATAATTGAACTCTATGGCCAGTTAGCATGGAGTAAAACAGAGCATTACCAAAACTTACAATTTTAAAGGAGGCTTCCAAAAACAGTTATGTATAAGCTGAGATTGGAATGAGAAGATCAGCTAATTTAGAAAGGGAAGCTGGAAAGGAAGATAGGAGTCCAATATACTAAAATTTGCAAGTAATGTTAAGCTGTTTCCAATGAGGGGTTATAAACTGCTGTGGAGCTCTCTTTTGCAAGTTTCCTTCTCTTGCAGTGGGACCTGGTATGTGAATTTCAGTCACTGATCTCAGTGTCTAAATTCTTAGTCATAGCTGGAATGCTGGTGGGAAACATCATATATGGCCATTTATCAGACAGGTGAGTGTCTCTAGATCACAGCTCCCTTTACTCCTGGGTATTTTCATGATTTCATGAATCATTCCATCATTAGGAAATAAATATTGCAAATTACAGTCCTCTGGAGCTGCCTTGGTCTCCAGTGTTCTAGAAGTACAAATAGAGAATTAATCATTGTGCTGAGTGCTGTTTTTTTCAGCATTGAGCTTTGTGTACAGGACTCAGTAATGGCATTTCCATCTAATCTGGAAGCATATTAGGACAGGATACAGAAAAGAGGTGCTATAACTTGTAGTTTAGAAACATGAGAAAGCGACACCTATGGGAATGGAGAGGGAAATATTTCATGGCATGAGATTTGGCCTGTTTGAAGACTCAGATATAGAAAACTGCTTTGCTGGCCTTGTCCAGGGGTGTCATGTTTCTGGACGTTGTGAGCTGAATTGTGGCTTCCCAGAAAATGATCACCAGGGTCTAGTTGCCCTACTGTGATGGATAGATTTTCTTATAAAACCTGTGTGGTACAGAGCAGTGCATCATTGGTGGTGTGTTAAAAAATTATGCCAGTAACCTTAGTTTTTGGTTTTGCACAAACAGGTTTTTAAAGGTAAGTTTTGTAATCGTTTAAAGTAATTAATCTAAGAATAACTGCTGTCACATTTTTCATGTGAGAAGTTTGGGGAATTCTGTGCCTGACCGTACCTCTTCTCATATAGACTTAACTCTGAAATCATTGCCAACACTCAACCATGTCTCTCCTGAGGGAGGTGGAGCACATGAGGTGCCCCTTACCATTCACCTGCATAATATTTACTGTTGTCTCAGCTGAGAAATGTGAACGTTAAATATATCACAGTAAATGTAACATAGAAAAGAGTTCAGAGCCAGAGTTTTCATTTTCAACAGTCCAGTAACATGGCCTCCTGTGACAGTGTCATGATAAATTATAGATATATCAATTTTTATGGATTACATGGTAGTAGAGGCAAGGGATGGAAAAGGCTTAGTAGCAGATAACAGTGGAGGACTAGCTGAAATTGAGGTAGTTTGAAAAATCCAAGGATTTTGAACTTCATCAGCAAGCTAAGAGGAAAAACTAAAAGGTATGTGTAGGAAAGGGGCATGAACAAATTGATACTTTTTAAATAACACTCTCAACTATTCATAATATTGCAATACCGGAAGCAATCTAGAAGTCGATCAATGATAAAATAAGATGCAGGATATTCATATAATAAATTAATCTACAGTAAAGGGAATGAACAAACTACTCTGTGCAGTAACACAAATGAATATCAGAATCATGCAGTTGTGCAGAACAAGCAAAATACAAATGATTACATATCAGACAATTACACTTTTAGGTGGAGTCAAAAACAGGCAAGCTATACTAAGTTGTTGGAAGTTGGAAAATTGGTTCTCTTTAGAATTTTACTGTGATTGTCTTGAAACTGTAGAGCAGTTTGGGTCAGATTGTCATTTTTAACATACTGATTTTTGTGATCTGAGAATATTATGGAGATATTAATTTAGATATTTTTAAATTTCCTTTTTCAGTGTTCATAGTTTGTGGGAAGAGTCGTGCATTTTTTTCCATAAAATTTACTTCTATTTAACTTGGTTTATGAGGCTATGAAGTTGTTTTTCGTAACTTTAATGTCTAATCATTCATTGCACATACGTAGAAATGCAATTGATTTTTATGTATTGATTCTACCAACTGCCATCCTGATAAATTTATTACTACTGGTAGATTTATTGTGAATTCCTTGAAGTTTCCTACTACTCTATCTTTTCATCTGCCAGTAAAGATAGCTTTACTTATTATTTTCATTTATTTTGCTTTTTACTCTTTTTTTCTATCAATAGCTATAACGTTCAGTATCATGCTTAATGCAATTGGTGAGAGATGATAATCTTGCCTCATCTGACCTTAGGTAGAATGCACTGACCCTTTCACTCTTGAGTATAATATGAGATAGAGGATAATGGTAGATACTCTTAATGAGTTTTAAGAAGTTTTCTTCTGTTTCTGGTTTCCTGAATATTTTATTTGGAAAGATAGTAAGTGCTATTGAAGACATACTATAGACCATCTAATACTTGAAGGAGAAGCCTAGTTCAGATTTTTTTGGAGATTAAGACATTCAAAAGCAGCCATACATAAGGTGTAATTCAGAAAGCCATGCAAGAGGCCAGGCAACACACATGCTCAGAAAACACATGAGAACATATAAAGCTTTTGCCTCAGGTTGATGCCTACCCTACCACAAACCTGGCTAAGGCTTTAAGGAGTGCCTTGAAACAGATGCAATCTGCAAACATTGGGAGATCTCCAGACACTCAAGGAAATGTCTGTCAAAACTTAGCTGAACATGAACTAATAGTTTTGCAAAACAGTTTGGAAAAGTCTCAGAAAAATAGACTACTTAACCCTTCAGCTATTAAAAAAAGAATGAGAAATCAATGGGGAAGAAGGAAAATCTGACTTCCAGAGTTACAACATACAGTAGTGAAATGCCCAATTTTCAACAACAACAGAAATATCAGAAGGCATGCAAAGAAACAGGGAAACACGACCCTTTAAAAAGAGGAAAAACCCTGATAGAGACTATTCATGAGTAAGCTTGGAAGTCAGACATCCAGACAAAGACTTTAAAACAACTGTCTTAAATATGTTCAAAAAGATGAAATAAAGCATGGAAAAAGAACTAAAATAACTCAGGAAAATACTATATGAACAAAATGAGAATATCTACAAAGTGATATAAATTATTAAAATGGAACCAAATAGAATTTTCTTTTTTTAGTGAGGAAGATTGGCTCTGAACTGACATCTGTTGCCAATCTTCCTCTTTTTGCTTGAGGAAGATTGTCACTAAGTTAACATCTGTGCCCATCTTCCTCTGTTTTGTATGTGGGATGCCACCACAGCATGGCTTGATGAGTGGTGTGTAGGTCCACGCCTGGGATACTAACCAGTGAACCCTGGGCCACCAAAGTGGAGCATGCGACCTTAACTGCCATGCCACTGGGCCATCACCCAAAAAACATTTTAAATTGTCCTTAATTCACTTTCTATAAGACAGCTGACCTGGACTTTTCAAAAAAGGAATGTCATGCAAAAAATAAGTGGAGTGATCATTCTAGATTCAAAAAAACCCTAACAAAATGTAAGAACAAAATGCAATCTGTAAACTCCAACTACATCATGGATGGAATAAATAAAAAGAACAGCTAGAAAGAGAGTCTGAGGACCTTTGCAACAATTTGAATATAGTCTAATAGCTGATAGGATGGAATCAGTGTTCTTGGGTGTGATAATGGAATTATAATAGATTGGAAACTGTCCTTATTCTTAACTCAAGTATGCTAAAAACTTCAGGAGTGATGTGTCATATGGTTTGTAACTGCCTTTCAAATGATTCAACAAAAAAGTGTGTGTGTGTGTTCACATACATGCAAAGAAATAAAGCCAATGCAGCAAAATGATATCTCATGGTGAGCCTGATTGAGGTTTATACCAGGATTCGCTACAGTATTCATTTAAACTGTCTTTCATGTTTGAAAACTTTCAAAATAAAGAGTAGTTGGGAATAAATCCACCCAAATGAGAGCCAACATTAACATCATCTTGTTATATTTACATATATCACAAACATATGTTTTAAGTAAAGTTGGGATATATGTGATGTATGTACAATTGTGTAACCTCTTTTGACATATTTGTTTATAGATATATATCACATTTTCTTTTCAAATAAAATATTTTTTCAAATAAATTTTGTAACAAAGCCAAAAAGAAATACACACAAAGATTCTCCACTTATCTTCATTAAACATCGTTGTAATCACAGCATTACTATATTACTCAAGATAACTGGTTGCAGTAAAAAATCCAGAATCCTAGTTGGTTACCTGAATAAAAGAGTGATTCTCATTCATGTCATAGTTTGGTGTGGATTAAGTAGGGATCCAGGCCCCCATCTTCTAGACAATGACTAAGGAAACAATTCCTTCCATCATGTGAATTTTCATCAAGCAGTTTTTGTTTCCAGCCATGTTGTCAGATGGAATAGGTAGAATCAAAATTGATTTTATATGGACAGAGCTGGAAGTGGTCTACGTCATTTCTGTCCACAGCCCATGGTCAACACAAAGGTGAATGGACCATACTTAATTACAAGACTGGGAAGTATAGTCTTCCTCCGTGTCCAGAAAAAAAGAGAAGCAATGGTGAGCATCTAGCCAGTTCACACAATAATTGATAATGAAACAATGTTTATATTTTGCACAACACAGATTTCCCTTTTTTTGGATGTCAAGAAGAGATGGTTGAATTATCATACTCCTCATTACATAAGACAGTGTTCTCATTAACTTGGTCTTGAAATCCCCTCATATGCATATGTATATATCTGTTTCACTTTTTCTCCATGCTCTACTCCCATTTCTCTCCTCCAAATGTAGGGATTATTATAGTGTGTTGATTACACTATTTTAAAATTATGTATGTTTTCACAAAACTAGTGACATTGTTTCATTTACATTTACGGTAATTTACATATTATGTAAATATATTTTCTCATTATTTTTTGTTTGTACAATCACCACTATGTTTTTTAGATACATACACATTCTTATGTACACTTCTAGTTTATTTTCCTAGTTGCTAAATATTGCTGCACATTGTGGTTCCATCACACTGTTCTTAACCCCTCTTTTGGGAAAGGATAGCCAGATTGCCTCCAAAGACCTGATACCACAAATTTCCCTACATGTAAAAAACTTACCTGTGACTATTTCCTTTGAGTACATTATATATCATTATACATAACTACTTTTTGTTTTGACTGACCAGGCTTTCCAATAATCACCACTACATCATTTCCTTAATCATAGCACTTCTTTGTATTGATTCCATACCATTCTGAATTGAAACACAAATATAAGAATAAAGTATATATTGTATAATAACTCAGAATATAAAATATTTGACAGTTGTATTATAATATAAGTATAGTGTGAGTGAAGTAAATATTATAGAACAGTTTCCCAGTCCAATTTTTGTCCATTTGTTAATATTAATGGCCATATAGAATCAGCACAGGGGCCTTATTCCACAGAAAGACACCTTTTTCCAGAAATCTGTGAAACATAGAATTCTCTTTCCCTTTTATTTTTTTAACCTCACTGTTTTCTAGTTATTCATTCTCCATCTTACATAATTTCTTTCCTCTGAGAACTTTCTATGAGTTCCTCTGTATGTATTGTGGCTCTCTTCTACCATGCTTAAGAGGAAGCATGTTGTCCAATATCTGCAAACCCACACTCAGCAGAGAGTAGTTCTTATGCAAACTTTCATTAACTTTGGTATATTTTTTCACAGATGTTGCTTTTACATCAGGTTTGTTTTGCTATTAGAATGCTTCATATTCCTTTTTCCAGGTTAATTGAGACATAATTAACATATACCATTATGTCAGTTTAAGGTGTACAATACAATAATTTATACAGATATATATTGTGAAATGATTACCAATATAGGGTTAGTTAACATCTCCATCACCTCACATAATTACCATTTTGTGTGTGTGGTGAGAACATTTAGATCTACTTCCTTAATGACTTTCAAGACTATTGTTAACTATAGTCTCCAAGACATATTAGATCCCTAGAACTTATTCATCTCATAACTGAAGGATTGTACCCTTTGTCCCACATCTCCTCATTTCCACAAATCCTCCAGCCCTGGAAACCACCATTCTACTCTCTGTTTCTATGAGTTCAGCTTTTTCCCTGGTAACCAGAGAATAACCTATAGTGATTACACAAATGAACATGATCAAGATGTTAAAGCATATTGATACCAAAACATCAAAACACAAAAAGAGAACATGATAAGAAGAACATGATAACAAGGAAGAAAAGGTCTACAAAAAAGTCAGAAAACAATTAACAAAATGGCAATAGTAAGTCCTTACCTATCAATTATTACTTTAAATGTAAATTGATTAAATTCTCTAATCAAAAGACAGAATGGTTGAATTGATAAAAAAAATCCAGCAATAAAACAAGATGAACAATCCATTGATATGCTGCCTACTAGAGACTCACTTTAGCCTTAAAGACACAATTGACTGGGATGATGGCCTGGAAAAAGATATTTCAAGCAAATGATAAACAACAAAAAAAGCAGGGGTAGAAATACTTGTATCAGACAAAATAGACTTTAAACTAAAAAGGGTAAAAAGAGACAAAGAAAGCCATGACAGCATGACAGAGTGGTTAATACATCAAGAAGATACAACAATTGTAAATATTTATGCACCCAACATCAGAGAACCTAAATATATAAAGCAAAAACTAACAGAGCTAAAAGGAGAAACAAACATCAATATGATAATAGTTGGGGAATTTAATACCCTACCCTCAACAGTGGATAGATCATCCAGAAAAACAATCAATAAGAAAACAGAACATTTGAACAACACTGAGGACAAACAGACCTAAGAGATATATTCAGAACATTCTATCCAACAACAGCAGAATATACATTATTCTCAAGTACACATGGAACATTTTCTAGGATAGATCATATGTTAGGCCAGAAAGCAAGTCTCAGCAAATTAAAGAAGATTGAAAGGATACCAAATATCTTCTCTGACCACAGTGGTATGAAACAAGAAAACAATAACAGGAGAAAAACTGGAGAACTCACAAAAAAATGCAAATTAAACAACACTCTCCAGAACAACAAATGGATCCAGCAAAAAATTAAAGGGGAAATTAAAAAGTATCTTGAGAAAATGAAAATGGGAACACAACATACCCAAATTTATGGGATGCAACAAAAGCATTTCTGAGAAAAGTTCATAGTAGTAAATGCCTACATTAAGAGACAAAAAAGACCTCAAATAAAAAACTTAACTCAATGGCTCAAGGAACTAGAAACCAAAAAACAAATTTAGCCCAAACTTATCAGAAGAAAGGAAATAATAAATGAAATAGAGAACAGGAAAACAACAAAAAAGATTAACAAAACTAAGTATTGGCTCTTTGAAAAGATAAACAAAATTGGCAAATCTTTTTCTAGAGTAACAGGTAAAAAAAGAGAGGACCCAAATCAACAAAATTATGAATGAAAGAGGAATCATTACAACTGATACCACAGAAAGACAAGAGGCCACTATAAACAACTGTATTGCAACAAACCGGGCAATCAAGATAAAATGAAAACAATTCTAGAAACAACCTACCCAGACTGAATCAGGAAGAAATAGAAAATCTGAACAGACCAATTACTAGCAAGGAGATTGAATCAGTAATCAATAATCTCTGAACAAAGAAAAGCCCAGAACCAGACGGCTCCTCTGCTGAATTTTATCAAACATTTAAAGAATAATTAACACTAATCCTTCTCAAACTCTTCCGAAAAAATCAGAGGGAGAAGTTCCAAAGTCATTTTATGAGACCAGCATTACCCTGATACCAAAGCCAGAAAAAGACACTGCAAGAGGAAAACTAGAGGAGTGACATCAGCATTGTGGCAGGGTCAGTTGTCTCCTTTGTCTCCCCCCTCTAAGTTGCAAGCTGTAGGGCATCCATTGGCCAACAAAGGACTCCCTGCACAGCACATCAGAATGTCTGAGAGATCCATGCATCTGTACATCTGAAGGTGGGTGGACTGGACTTCTAGGAGGTGGTGGAACTAGGTGAGCAGCCCCCTACCCCTCCAGTGACGGCGGTGATCCAAGAGGCAGATACCCCCAGCATTTGGTGGTGGTGCCCTGATCTGAGATTTCAAAGAAGACAATGACACCAGAGACCAAGGCTGCAAAAGCAGCAAAAACACTCTAGGTTTACCCCTTTCCCTCTTTCAGTGGTGGCAGAGGGCACCCATGATCTGATGATTCCAGAAACACACTGGTGCTTGTGGCCCAGCTCCCCCCGTCTCCCTCAGTGGTGGCAATCCAAAATGTGAATACCTCTAGCAGAGGCAATGGTGCCCTGACCTGAGGTTTCAAAAAGTGCACCAGTGCTGGAGACAGAGTCTGCAGGAGAAGCAGCAGTGCTGTGGCTGAGCCCTACCCCTCCCCAGCAGTGGCAGGTAGCACTTGTGACCTGAGGCTTCACAAATCACAATACAACCTTTGACCCAGCCCCCAGTGGCAATACCTCTGACACTGGCCTTATCAGTAACAGGTGACATATACAAGACTCCCTGGCAGTGGCAGCAACACCCATGACTCAGCCCCCAGGAGTGGTGCTGCCTACAGCCCCAGATAACCTAGGAGAAGCAACACAGGTCTTGCAGGGGGCATCAGCACCTGAGGCTGTGGAAAACCCACAGAAAGTCAGTGAGGGAACAGGAGACCCAGGTGACCCCAGAAGCAGCAATGATGCTTACAGCCTGGTGACCCAGGAGGCAACACCCAAAACTGAAGCAACATTTTAAACAGCAAGGCACCAGCATCCTCGGAGGCACAAGCAGCATAAAGAGCGCACTGACACTTGCACAAACATTCCCTAAATTTCAAAACGTGGCTACATTCTCATAGTTATTTTTACACTGGGTAGTTCTTGTTCCTTGATCTAACCTGTACCTGTTTCTCAGGTTTGGGAGGAGGTTGATACTCAGATGGTGTTTGCTCCAGTTCGCCATTGCTGACACCTGTGCAGCCTTTGCTCCCACCTTCCTCATTTACTGCTCACTACGCTTCTTGGCTGGCTTTTCTGTCATGACCATCATGTTAAATAGCACCATGCTCAGTAAGTCAACACTTTTGATCTTGTACATTTTCTAAGCCTTGACTTTGATGTAGACATTCCACCGTTGTTTAAAATCAAAATCCTGTTTGTGTTTTCTTTCAGTTGTAGAATGGACAGTGCCCCGATTCCAAGCCATGGGAACAACACTTGCATTCTGTTCTCATAGTATTGGACAGATAATATCAGGAGGACTGGCTTATGCCATTCGAGACTGGCGCACCCTCCAGCTGGTGGTTTCTGTGCCGGTATTTGTCATCTTTCTGTCTTCAAGGTACAAGCTCTCTCTCAGTCTTAGAGGATCCTGGAATGAAAGATGCATGGAATCAAGAGACATGAATTCTCTGTGATCCTTGGTCAACACTTGAGCATGTACTCTACTAATCTGTGTAATTTCAGAAGCTCAACAGACACCATTGCCAGATTATATCATGGAAATGAAATTATGTTTAATTTCAGATAAACAACAAATATTTTTGTATAATAATATCCCAAAGTTTAAATGGCACACAATTACACTGAAAATTCTTCATTTTTGTGAAATTTCTATTTATCCGAGTGGTCTGTATTTTCATGTGCTAAGTAGAAAAATACAGAATGTTCCATTAAATTCAAATTTTGGGTAAATAGCAAACAATATTTTAGTACAAGTGTGCCCCAAATATTGCATGGAACATAGTTATACTAAAGAGTTATTCACTGTTTATTTGAATACAAATTTAATTAGGCACACTTTATTTATAGTTACTGATATTGGCATTTCCCCTGAATAAGAGTGAAGCCAATGTTCCAAGTAGTGAAAGTGTACTGCATTAAGGTGTCATCTTCATATTTTCCTAGTTACAATATAAGAGAAAGTAAGTTTATATTTTCTGGTATAACCAAACAGTGGTGGATATTACATTGGAGTTGAAAGGCATAAGCAGGGGAGGAAAATTTCCTTCTACCCTTGTAGGTCCTGTGAATGGCCTAAGAATTAAACTGACATAAGACAATTAACAGGAGAAATGCACAGAAATTTATTCAATATTTTATATGTATACGTCTTCAGGAGAAAAATTAAGACCCAAAGAAGCCATTAGGCCCAAAAGCTTATTTACATTTTTATACACAATGAAAACTATAAATTGTGTAGATGCGATAAGACACATTGGTCTGGACTAGGGGTGGGAATTTGTGGGACCAAGACTAAGAAATATATGGGGAAACTAAGGGAAAGTAACAGTTATTTTGGTAAGTTTGTTTGTATAGGTTCTTTTTGATGTCAACTCCAAGTCTCTGATGATAAGAATGTTCTTTTCTTCCTGGCACAAGAAGGGCATCTTTTCATGGTAAATTTTACGACTCTCTTAGGTAGAAAGGGAAGACAGAGAGATCTTCCTGCATCTGCTGTTTCCCAAGTTCCTTCAGCTCAAATAATCAATGTTTTAAAGCAGCGTATTTTGGGTGGCATGTTCAGAGCTGCTTCCCATTTCTGGACAAAGATAATATGAAAAATGGGAAAATGAGAGTTAACGGCACCTCTGTTCTGTCCTTTGATCAGTTGGCTGATGGAGTCTGCTCGGTGGCTGATTATCACCAACAAGCCTCAGGAGGGCTTAAGGGAACTCAGAAAAGCTGCACACAGAAATGGAAAGAAGAATATCAAAGACACCCTAACCCTGGAGGTGAGAAGGATGGGAGCTGGTTATGGGTTGTAGAGAACACATGACCTGACATCTACATTAGTCAGTATCCAAGCAAGGTAAGGTCTTAGGAGTGGTTATGGGTCTTCTGACCTCACTGTTCTTGTTATTAGTTGAGTGTCAACATCATTTGGGTAACATTAGAAAAGGGCATGTTGTTACTGAAAGTATTTGACACGAATTTTACTCAATGGAGGAAGGAAGGACTGAGTACTAACAATTATAAAAACTGCAGACTCACAAAGAAAAAGAGAAAGCTCAAGTAAGTAAAGTTAGAAAAAATGAGAAATTGTAACACATAGAATACAAAGGATTATAGAAGAAGCTATGAAAACCTATATGCCAACAAATTAGATAGTCTTGAAGAAAAGGATAAATTCTTAGAATTATGCAATCTTCCAAAACTGAATGAAGAAGAATAGAGAATTTGAATAGACAGATAACTAGTAAGGAGATCCAAACAGTTACCATAAACCTTCTAAAAAACAAAAGTCATAGCTTCTCTGGTAAATTATATTATTCAAAGAAGTTATATTCAAAGAAGATTTAATACCTATCTCACTCAATCTTCCAAAAATTTGAAGAGGAAGAGATGCTTCCTAACTCCAGCTAGGCCAACATTAGGCAAACATTACCCAGATACCAAAACAAGAGAAGGAGAGCACAAAAAAGAAAATTACAGGGGCTGGCTCCCTGGCCCAGTGGTTAACTTCATGTGCTCCACTTCAGTGGCCCAGGGTTTCACCAGTTCAGATCCTGGGCACAGACATGGCACCACTCATCAGGCCATGTTGAGGTGGCGTCCCACATGCCACAACTAGAAGGACCCACAACTAGGATGTACAACTGTGTATTGGGGGGATTTGGGGAGAAAAAGCAAAAAGAAAAAAAAAGGTTGGCAACAGTTGTTAGCTCAGGTGCCAATCTTTAAAAAAAAACAAAAAAGAAAATTACAGGCCAATGTCACTGGTGAACAAAGATGCAAAAATCGTCAACAAAATATTAGCAAATTGAATATAACAACACATTAAAATGATCATAGACCATGATCAAGCCAGATTTATTCCAGGGGTGCAAGGATGCTTCAGCATCTAAAAACTGATCAATGTGATACACCACATCAACAAAATGAAGAACAAAAATCACATGGTCATCTGCATAGATGCCAACAAAGCATTTAACAAGATACAGCATCTATTTATGATAAAACCTTAAATAAAAGGGTTTAAAAGGAAAGTATCTCAACAGATAACTTTTTAAATATTGTATAAAACCCTAAAGAATCCACCAACAAACTATAAGAAATGATAAAATAATAGAGTAAAGTTGCAGAGTACAAAATCCACATACAAAAATCAGTCGTGATTCTGTTCGCTAAGAATGAAGTTCCAGAAAGAGAAATCAAGAATACAGTTTCATTTATAATCACAACAAAAAGAATAAAATACCTAGGAATAAATTTAACCAGGGATGTGAAAGACCTATTACCTGAAACCTATAAAACGTTGAAAGAATTCGAAGACAAGAAATGAAAAGATATTCCGTGCTCATAAATTGGAAGAATTAGACTTAAAATATTCGTTCTTCCTAGGGCAATCAACAGATTCAATGCAATGCCTGCCAAAGTCCCAAAGACATCTTTCATAGAAATAGAACAAAGAATCCTAAAATTTACATGAAACACCAAAAGACTCCCAATAGCCAAAGCAATCTTGAGATAAAACAAAGCTGGAGGTATCAAACTCCATGATTTCAAAAATATACTACAAAGCTATAGTAAAGCTATAGTAATTGAAACAGCGTGATAGTGGCAGAAAAACACACACACACAGATCAATGGAACAGAATCAAGAGCCCAGAAATAAACCCACACATCTATGAACACCTAATTTTCAACAAAGGTGCCAAGACCATACAATGGAGAAAGGAAAAATCTCCTTAATAAATGGTCAGCCACGTGAAAAGAATGAATGTAGACCATTATCTTACACCATACACAAAAATTAACTCAAAATGGATTAAAAACTTAATGTTTAAGACCTGAAACCTTAAAACACCTACAAGAAAACATAAGCAGTACACTCTTTGACATCAGTCTTAGCAATATCTTTTTGAATATCAAGTCTCCTCAGGCAGAGAAACAAAAAGAAAAAGTAAACAAATGGGACTACATCAAACAAAAAGTCTTCTGCACAGTAAAGTGAATCATAACCAAAGTGTAAGGACAGACTAACAACTTGGAGAAGATATTTGCAAATCCTATATCTGATAAGGAGTTAATATCCAAAATATACAAAAATCTCATACAACTCAGCAACAAAAAAACCAACAACCCAATTACAAAAAGAGCAGAGGACATAAATAGATAATTTTCCTAATAAGATATACAGATGGCCATGAGGCACATGAAAAGATGTTCAATATCACTAATTATTAGGGAAATGCAAATTAAAATACAATGAGAAATTACTTCACACCCATCAGAATGGCTGTTACTAAAAAGATGATAAATAACAAGTGTTGCAGGGGACGTGAGGAAAAAGGAACTCTCACACATTGCTGGTGGGTATGTAAACTGGTACAGTCACTATTGAAAACAGTATGGAGATTTCTCAAAAATTAAGAATAGAACTACTATATGAACCAGTTATTCCAATTCTGAATATTTATCCAAAGAACACGAAAAAAAGATATATGCACCCTGATGTGCATTGCAGCACAGTATTCACAGTAACCAAGACTTGGAGGCAAACTATATGCCCATAAAGGGATGAATGGATGAAGAAGATGTGGTATAAATATAAATATATATATAAATATATATATACACTATACACTAAAGTATACTACTAATGCTACTCTACATATATATTTATGGAATATTAATGTACAATGGAATACCACTCAGTCACAAAAAAATATGAAATCTGCCCATTTGGGACAACATGGATGGACTTTGAGGGCATTAAGTGAAATAAATCAGTTGAAGAAAGCCAAATGCTATATGATTTCACTCATACGTAGAAGATACAAAAACAAGAACCACAAACAAACACATAGACACAGAGAATAGTTTGGCAGTTACCAGCAGGGAAGGGGAGCAGGGGGAAGGCAAAATGAGTAAAAGGGCCCATGGGTATGGTGATGGATGACAATTAAACTTTGGGTAGTGAACACAATGTGGTCTACACAGAAGTCAAAATATAGTGATGTTCACCCCAAATTTATATAATATTATAAACCAATGTTACCTCAAAAATTAATTAAATAAAAAGTATTCTTTTAAAAACATTGTATACTGGTCTCACTCTGTATAAGAGAAAGTAGCAAAAAGTAATCCATTCCCTTCCAATTCTGACCATTTTTCAGAACAGTAAGGCCAGTAGAAGGATTAGTGACCATGCAGAACGGAGCATAAAGAGGTTCTCCCATTTGTTCATTCACCCATGCACTTTCGTTTGTGGTATATTTAGTGAGTGCTGACCTGTGGCAGGTTTTGTTCTAAACCTGGAAACACGGCAGTGACCACAACAGTCCAAACTCATGTGGAGTTTACATTCTCATTATTACAACTTCCAAGAGCATGACTGAGTGGAAATACCTCAGAGAATACTTTTTACCTCTTATTTTTCATCCCAGATATCGAAGGCAAATATTGCTGTGCATAACCAGTTAAATCATTCTTCATGTCATGCACATATATGAAGTACTTGCTGGAAAATTATATTGTACCATGTGTTGTGCTAGATTGTGAATGACAGAATAAGTTAGACTCCCAGCATTCAAAGAGCTTCCACATTCGTATAAGAGAGATAAATTCATAGACATTTTTAAATCCAAATATTTAAAATGATAAGAGAATGTAAAGAATGCTAATGGATATAAGGGAAAAAAACTACTCTCTTTTAATTGATAAAGGAGAAGATTAGAAGGTAGCCATTCAAAAAGGAGGAATAGAAGATTTCTGGAAACATATACAATGGCACATCTGATGGAAGTTCTTATAGTTCCAGAAAAGAGCAGAAGTCCTTTAGAAGATTTCGAATAATGCTCTTGAGAATTTAGATCCTAGTGAAGATGGTGGAGAGAAATGAAGTCTTCCCCAGAGATGAAGCAATTACACAATGGCATGAGTGTCCCTGATATGATGGGGAAAACATTTGATTATGTTAAAAAAAAAAAGGATGGGGGTGAACCTTGAAATTTAGGTGGAACTTGATGGCACTTCTACTGTGTCAATATGTACCTAAATTATATAAAATTCTTTTGGACCAACTAACTTCCCAGGAGTTATCTGATTCCAAGCACATACCTAGTATTTTGCCTACCAGATTGCCCCAATCCACGAAGGAGAGCGTAAATACTTACAGGGGCCAGGCAGATACAAAAGTAATGATACCAGCTGAACTTAAAAAAAAAAAAAGCATAATCAAGGTGAATGGCAGCTGACAATCACCTCAGTGCCAGGGAGAAGAAAGAAAGCATGACACACGAGTAGCAGTTAAAATGTGGTTTAACTTAAAATTCATGAATCAGTAGCTAAGAAGCCATCATTTGATTTTCTTTTATTTTGTAAGATAATTCGGAAACTTGTTGTCTTAGTCCGGTTTAAATCTCCATCTGATGGATTGCCAAACACATCTGCTCCAGACGGTTCTAACTTAAAGCTGCCCCACGTTATGTCAATATCAATCTGTTGATTCCCCCAGATGTCCAGGAAGGGTGGCCTTTCATTTCTCTGAATTCTCTTCATCGTTGAATTTTCTCTAATGAGCTTCATGGTATTGTTTCATTCGTAGAGAGGAGAAGAGATTGGAGCTAATATTACTTGAATAATTAATAAATCAATAATTGCCTGATCTGTGCTAGACATAATTCCATATGTACATTTGTGACCTCATGCATGCCCTGGAAATCCTTGTGAGAGAGGTATTATTTTTTTCTCCTCCTACTTCTTCTTCTCTTGATCCTAATTCTGTTAC